CGTGGTTCAGTGAAAGCGGCAGAAGGCCGGACCCTTTTCAGGCCTCAGCAAATTAGGGTGCGGTCTCCTGGTCTTCACAGAAATGAAGGATCCAGTCCAGGTAGACTGCGTCCTTGGAGGACGCAGCCCATGAACTTGAATTCAGGCAGAGTTTTGCTCCACGCTACCTTCAGGTACTGCAGGTCAGCCTGCAGGAGGCGCAGGTGGGTCATCAGCTGTCTGCTCAGATCAGGGCCGTCTCCCCCTGCCTGTGAGGACGAGGACAGCAGCTTCCTCATGTCGATCCCAACATCGTCTTCAGTGCTGCTCTCCCCAAAGCCCGCTTCAAAGTCCAGACCCACAAAACCTGCTGGTGGAGAGTTTGGAGAGTTTGAAAAAATCTGGACAGAACATCCAAACTTCAGCAGAACATGGACTTACTGTTAGGTCCAGCTGACTCAGACTCCCCGGTGAGGTCAGATGGAGGCTGCAGGTCATCATTCTCTGAACTTTCAGGTGGGCGGATCTCATGTGCAGGAGACGGTACTTCAGGGGTCCCAGGCTGACTCTCAGGGGCCCCACTGGACTTGTTGTCCTCTGTGTCCTCCTCCTCTGGCTCTCTGCCCATTAAGTGTGAGTAAAGTGTCTCCTTTAGCATCACCACTGTAACAGAAGATGTCCTCCATCAACACGTTAATCTAAAATTGAAAAGCAGCGTTATGTGGGTGACTATAGACAGAATTGGATCGGCGTACATGTCCGGAGAGCCTCTTCAGCTTTGGAGGAGGGGAAAGTTAAGTCCATGTCTTCGACCGCGATGCCGTGACGAGATCCTTCCTGCAGGAGTCTGTCTGCCAGCTGCCCGTCCAGGAAAGCCTCCAGCTCTGCTTCGTCCACCTCCTCCTCTTCCTCCTCCTGTCTGACTGCATCTGCCAGCTCCTCTTCCTCATCTTCTGATTTCACGCAGTCAAAAGGGTTGGTAGAAGTTTGGATGTCAGGAGAGCACAGGGCATCTTTATCTGGAACACAGAATAAAAGGATTTTTGAATTTCCATCAGTAAAAACACATTGGCTTCCTGTTAAA